AAACAAATTATTTTATCAACAACGGAAACAAGTGACTTTTAAGACACTCTTAAAAGGTCACTAGGATATGGCGGTTTTCTGTATCTCTATTTGATCTTCAGGCTAGCAGTGTACTCGTCCAAAACTTGTAAGACATTTCTTGAAAGCTTTTTCCCTATGTAACGTGTTCACGGAAGTTGTTTATTTCGCTGAAGGTTTTTCCCATGTAGGCTGACCTGAAAAAAGGTAAAAACAACAATTTTCACCTGGACGCTAGTTGAGCGGTGCCATCAAGGAAAAACAGAAATGCTAAGGTCCCATTCTAGTCACTCTGGGGACCAAGAGGTCTTACTGAGGAGAGGGCAGTGCCGAAGAAAAGAAACTTCCACTATGCGTGTCTCATACAAGTGCGTTCTTGATCGGTGTCAAAGCGTTTGTCAAGACTCCTCGCGTTTAAAAGTGCTTCGTTATTATATTTCTTCTGTGAAAGCTCATGTTCTTAACTTTTTGAAGAATCCGATTCGTTTATCCCTGCAGTTCCCCTAACCGTTTTCTGTGTAAAGCGAAAAACGTTTTTTGTTTACTGTGGGACCTTTTTACTCATGTGCTTACCACTACGACCTTATCCATTAAACTGAATGGAATATAGTGTGTACCGAGCACCTCACACGGTAACCGTCCCATTTCTTATTTAAGCATTAAGTATAAGCTGCGCAAAGCACAATTTTCAAAAATACATGGCTTTGAGTTTTGCGAAGACATGCAGGGCTATTTCAAAATTGTTTCTAGAATACATGCTCACGACCAGAAATTGGGGGGGAGGGTGTTGGTGAGAAACTGTCCCGACAATATCGTTCTGGAAAACAAAACTGCTCATTTTTAAGTGAGAGGGCAGTGCTTCTTTCACCAAGAACTTCAGTTATTAATACCTTATTAAACTTGATTTACGAGGACTGAACGAAGTACAGAATGGTCACTTGAATGAACGTGTCCCATTTAGATTCCAGAAAAGCGCGCTTTAACATTCACCTTCGGTATCCGTGTCATTTGTAAAAAATCATCTGGACGCAAATGCATGCCTATTACCGCGCAAAATATCCTGTTTTCCGTCATTAAATCACTTTGTAAACATATTTTATATGCGAAAGAAGCCCGTCACACGTCAGATTAAGCTAGTAAATAAGATTTATACAGTTCATGACCTTCCTTCGCCGTCATCTCGCTTTCAGTCATCGTGTTTCATCCGTTTTTTGGTCTATCTATCTAAATCCATGTGAAAGTCACCGCTGCAATGTTAATTAATCTGTGCCAGATGCAATCAATGTCCAGTCTGCTGGGTTTCTTGGTGATCCCAGGAGGAATTGAAATCCTCCTGCAACCTTGTGCACCTTTTTGCATTGATTTGATGTTCGCCCGTTATCTCTTTTTCAACCATAGATGCGACAAGATTCCTATGCTTGGACATGCTATCGTACTAAGCAGGCTTGAACTGCAACTTTTGCAGGTACTCTTACTTAGATTTCTTACAACACTAGGCGCGGAATCTTAACTCGAACTTTTGCAGTAAACCCAATTTGTTCTTTTTTCCATTTTTCGCCATCAGCCAGTTCAATGATCGCGTTGTGGCTACTCTACGAATTTTTTCTCAAAAGGGTGGAGACCTCTGTCTGCAGTTAAGGGACTATTCCCCATATCTTCTAAGTGACCTGTCCTCGGACGCACAAACCTCTTCTGATTTCATGAGATGACATAGCTAGTAGATTACGAATGATGGGATTTCCAAAATATCCCACATTTTCTCAACTCCGTTAATAGTTCTTGACAGTGAAGCGTCCCGCTAACAGTGACTTGTTCCCTGGTTCAGTTAAAGCAATGGACTACAGCCGAGAAAAAGCGTTCTAAATGAGCTCCTCGGTATGTGCAATCGGAGGAAATAAAAGCTGCTTACTGTGGGGGTTTAAATACCAGACCTTTCTTGAACCGATTTTCTCTGAACCAATTGGCGATTTCTGGCTACACGGGAGTGCTGTTCGTCGATCTGGACCGACGGAATACGCGCATTACTTTTTTTCTGAGACTGTCTCGAGGTGATGAGAGATCAGGATATCTTACCAAAAACCGAGGGATACTGAAGTGACAATTTCCAACCTACATGCATCATCAGCCAGCCATAAACCTGTTTCAAACCTGGTCCAGTTAGTCACATACTTTACTGCTATTTGTTTGAGTCTCGGCTGTCATGGGATCATTGGAATAAAGATCTGTTGGGAATATTCAAATTCACATAGGCAGTAGCACTGACGGATCCGATTGAATTGCAAGATTGGCCCAGTTCTCGGGTTTTTAGCTCGATGTCGGCACATTACGGACTGAGAGATGCGCATTATCCAGGAATGGTCCTTCCAATTCGTCTCGTCTTTTTATAAAAGAACTACTTGTCGAAAAAGTGATCTCAACAAACCATTGCCCTAAAAGCTTGCGACTGAAAAATTTTTCAGTTCTAAGATCACTGAGATGATTCGTTTAAGGATCGTATAGTCGTCAATCGGTAAATTCGGATAGATGACAGGTCGATGAAGCGGGGATTCGGGTACATGTTACGGTTAGAAGTACAATGGCAGAACAAATAGCCCACAAAACGCCTGTTCGTGCAGTGTTCGAAATACAGAACCGCATTTGTAGCCAAGCATATTTTCACCCACATCTGTGGGAAGAAGGTAGCCGTCTCTCTGAAGAGGGTAGAATGATAATTTTTAGCAAGACACTAATTCTACCGTCGTCTGTACCATCACGGTGGCAGCACTCAGGTACAAGGCGAATATCACAAAATCATTCGGATTTTACTAAGTGAGGTCACACTATCATCGGAACTCACTTGACAGTTATGGCTTCTGCATCAACATACCCACTTAATAACCGGGGTAATTGTCAGTCCTGCGGGCGTTGACGTGTGTCCAATCGGTGACACCGTGCTCGGGTGAAGCTTATCCGCAGCATTGACCTCGCCTCGACTGTCAGTCCTGCCTCCACAGCATAACCATCATAGTCGCCCCATACACTTCTTTTCGTCCAGCGTCTTTATGCGCCACTTGTCAAGATAAGATCGCTGCCGTAGTCAAGGCAACTGGCAATAGCTAATTTCACACAAGTTCGTTTCACCCTCAAACAACCAGGCTCGAAATCATTTGTCCTAGTGTCCGCTACCGAGCGACGTCGAGTTGTGGTTGTCAGCTGGAATAAGTGCGACCAAGATACCATCTTCTTATGCCATGAAGTAGACACTGAACAGTAGTTAGCCACCCGTCAATTTAAACGGAACTAAAGGAGGTGTGATTGCTTGTTAACGGTTTATGGAGTTCTGAAAAGTCTTCCTGTCTCAAGTGAAACAATTATACGTTCTTCTATTAATCATTCATAAGGGGATGTTCATCTGTTGAGTTGGTTATCTGTAAAACTTCCTGGAAATAAGCGGCCGTTTGGCATTAGTAGTTTCTGATTCAGAATTGTTAATGACAAAGGAGACTGAGACTGGGATGAACATTTCCACCCTAGTTGACCTCTTCGACCTGCCACACCACAACACCAAGCGGGCGCTTGACAGTTGAACACGAGCCAGTTGGTTAGAAAGCATTTTAAATCAACCCCCCTAACGCTGGAGCTACGGGTTTAGACTCTCTACTTTACTATCTAAAATATAAAACATCGCGTGGAAGTCGAAAATTCTATCCCATCGAGAGCTAACAATTTCTGCTTGTTATCGGAAAATTTACATAAAAAGGGGAAGACAGCGAAGGCTAGAGCATGAAATAACTTGGCTCCCAAAGTTATCCGAAGCTTTAATTATGAAAACTCCTTGCAATTAAAAACATGCATGCTATCATGCTTCAAATAATTGCGGTACCTTAACTTCCTTTGAAGGCTGAAATAGGAGGCCAACAAAGTCTCTAATTTCCAAATAAACTGTGCCCTAGTTAGAGGCATCGAAATGTAACCGTAATGGTAGGGAATAAAATAACAGCTCAATACTTTCCATATTTATGTTTTTGGTCCAGTATTGTCAGAGGTAGTCCGAAAAAGTCAGTGGTAATACTGACAGAGACGAACGTATAGTACCACCTACACTCTAATAGGGACCCCATTACGGCCTGGTGGCATGGCTCCAGGTTGTAACACCTAACACCAAAGGACGAAGATGTATTTGACTGGAAAGCCAATAGATGGGTACGCACCTACTCCATTGTCAGTGCTGTCTGTCTAGTAAAGATTGAATATTTTGTGGGGTGTGCGGGGTGTCCAGGGCTGAGACCCACGTCGCAGCCGTACGATCACTTCAGGTTCGTCGATCCGACTGGATGGATTTTAAGCGACTCCAAACTGACAACGATATCATGTCGCAGATATGTAGCCGTCAACTGACAATTACGAAGATGTAGCATAGGTGAGGTCATCCAGCTCTGTTTGCGCAGGCACGGTTACAGTGATACCAAGTATTTGCAAGCAATACACTAAGAGTTCCCGCCAAACACATCGCCCTGGTACCCACCTCTCATCTGGGGCACCGTGAAACCATACTCTCTACGACGCTCAAACCCCGGTAACGGCCCTCGTCTGACGGGCTAAATCAGATGAGGGTCTTTGGAGTGTGTGTCTTCACACTCGGTAGTTCCTGAGCTTGTTCCCAGACGTCCTCTCTACACCCAAAAGGCCCTGTGGAGAGTGGTAGTCCGGTAGGCGGCCCAGGCCAATTCGCGTCGTCTTCCCAATAAACAGAAGTCGTGAAACAGAGTGAAATTCGGCAGTCGCCTGGGGTGACTGAGTAGCTCTGTTAAGGGGTAGCACTGCTTATCCCCTTGCCAGGCAAGGAGCTGGAAATTGGGCCCTGTCTACATCCCCGTGTCTCACCACAGGCGGCCTGAGTGACACTGCTCACTCTGGCAGTTCGGAACGTTCCCCTTTCTAGACGACCCAGTGACAGCGCAGCCGGAGAAGAGGAGAGCTCCAATGGGCCAAGATCTAGACAGTTAAAAAGTGGACACACCGACACTCAGTGAGACCCGTTTCCCGGACAGGGACAAAGAGATGCGGACGGACAAATACGGCGATGAGATGCCGGAGTCGCTTTCGCCATCCAGAACGATGCCGCGAGATGGCTGTTCTGCCTGCGGTAGGGTATCAGTTATGGTCTCATGAGTCTGTGTCTGCGTCTCCGCGGAACTAAGTTCGTCACCGTTGTCAGCATCTATGTCGCCTTCACCCAATGATTGGCTACGATGACCTGAAGAACAAGCTCTACGAAGACTCACACGCACTGCCAGCGACTGGTTATCCTAGTGACTTCAATTTCCGCGTCTACGCAGACAACACTGCCGGTCATGCACTGCCCGGTCACCACGGGATCGGCAACTGCAACTGCAACGCCCTTCGCCTCATGAAGGTTTGCACTGAAATCCATTTCCTCATGACCACCACCTTCCGCCTTCCGATTCGCGAGAGAGCGACGTGATTGGGCACTCTCTCGCGTCACTGGCATTTGCTGGACTACATCCGTGCTCGAAGACTTGACTAATTTGAAGCACTAGTGACAAAGTCCGTGGCTGAAGCCGACAGCCGGATAGATCAGTGACTAGTCATCTCCAAGATGACGCTTCAACTGCTACTGCACAGGTGCCCGAAAGCTGCATCAACATGAGGTGAGTTAACTACTTCATTACCTGGTACACCTGAACGCCGATTACATTTTTGCAGTTTCATTAACTTCAACGTGGAACAAATTCGCACCCAGAAGTCACAGACGAATGTCGAGAACCAGTCGGCGGAGATACGGGATACCACCCAGACCACCGCGATGGGTCGCGCATAGGAAGAAGCGAACAACCGACTTCCTCCATTGGACACCGACGACGAACTCGACCGTCCACCTTCTCTCCCTGAGATAGTCAAAACAATACAATAGTCATCCATTTGGAAACTACCGAGAGCAGACGTAATTTTAGTCGAGGTTTACAAGCATGGCGTCTACTACTCATCGAAAAGATTATCCCGCTATTCCAGAAGGTGTGACTAAGAGGACAGCTTCGTTAAAAATTCAAGGATGTCACCATCGTGCACATATACAATGGCAATGGGAACCGATAACCCTGCGATAACCACAAAAACATCAAACTTCTCAATATTGCAGGAGAAATCTCCGTCCATGTCCTATTCCGTCACCTGAGTACGCATTTGGAGCAGGGACTTCTTCCTGAAACATACCACGTATTCCGAAAACATGACAAAACGGACATGATCTTTACTTCACGCCAACTACAGATGTCTTAAGAGACGAGAACCAACCTCTGTACCATCCTTAATGATCTAACGAAGGCCTAGTACAGTGAGTCGTGATGAACTCTGGCGAATGCTGATAGAGTCCGGATGTTTGGAACCATTTGCGTAAATGGTTAAGCATCTTCACGGAAGGATGATGGCGCATCACGAAAAACGGGCCAGTGTCTGAGGCATTGGTGTGGGAAACTATGGTGCGACAGGACTGCATACTCGCCCCCACAATATAAAATTTCATGTTCACCTCTACGCTGATGGGCGCCAACCGTGAAGAGCAGTCAGAAATCGGCATCGACTACTAATTCGATGGGTAACTGCTCAACGCCCCACGCATAAGGTTATCATTGATAGTTTGCGAGGCTAGCGTACGCGGCCCATTGTTGGCAGACGGCTGCTAGCTAAACACCAAAACGGAAGAGGACATGCAATGGAGCGTGGGCCTCCTTTTCTCCGACCGCCCAGTGTTCGCAATGTACGCGAAAACAGTGCCCATGCACTAATCGACACCAAATTGGGACTAGAACGAGCCGAGGGCCAATGTCAATGGAACTGACTTCGCATCTGTGGACAAATTCGCATACCTAGGAAGTACGATTTTCCGAAATATAAAGAACGGCATGAAAATCGCAAGTCGGGTCTTTTTAAGTTAGCTAGGCTTTTGGCAGGTCAAAGCACTCCGCCTGGGCTCGTTACGACATTCTCAATCCAAACTGGAGGAAGTGTGGGCCTGTTGTCATGACAGATCCGTTGTAGGGGGCGGAGACGTTGGCATGTATTAAAGTCACGCAAATAAACTCAATCACGTTCATATAATCTGCCTTCGGGGAATACTAAATGTGAAGTTGCAGGAAAGGATCCAAGATACAGAGATTGTAGAAAGAACCGGTGACCCCAGTAGCCATGCCACACTGAGGCGGGTGAAGGTGCGCTGTAGTGGCTACGTCGTCTGGATGAACAAGGTGCACCTGCCCAAGTGACTAATTCATGGTGACCTTGCTAGGAGTTCTCGCAGAAAAGGCGGACTAACGCGTTACTACAAGGACACCATGAAGACCTGTCTCAAACACATTAAATTCAGTCAGGATCCCAGGGAAACCCCGTTCAAGATCGGCAGGCGTGGCACGCTCCCGTGAAGACGGGAACAGCCATTTTTGAAGCCAACTGAATAAAAGCAGCGATTACAAGCTTCAATCGTCACCAAGGAACAA